GTGCAGAGGCATAGCCTCTAAAGAAAGGTTGTCTCTGCAATGGAAATAGTTGTTCCTGGTGATTGGACATGGCAAGCAAAATTGGACTCGTATCCAGATGTATTTTACTTTTTATTAAATAGTAATTCTGCCAGCCCTTTTCTACAAAGAAATATTATATTTTTAATTGTGTTGGGATTGTCACCTGTGGACATTTTAAACTGTTTTACATATTTGTGCAGAGGCATAGCCTCTAAAGAAAGGTTGTCTCTGCAATGGAAATAGTTGTTCCTGGTGATTGGACATGGCAAGCAAAATTGGACTCGTATCCACATGTATTTTACTTTTTATTAAATAGTAATTCCGCCAGCCCTTTTCTACAAAGCCAAATGGTACTTATTTTCTGGATGAATAGTTATTTTTATATATTGTATTATATTGTATGTACATGTATATATAATTTACACACATATTATATATATAATTTAAAAAAGTCATAAGCATAGATTTACTTTAACATAAAAAAAATTCAGATAAGATGAAATAGATGAAAAATGTGCTTTTAAAAATGCAAAATTTATGAAGTGTATTCATATGCAATTAAATAGATATTATTTTAATTAAGAGAATTCAACAGTATAGTAAGTTAATTTAACCAAGCCATGGATGTGATAAATTTTTACAAGTATATTATAAACAATGACTGTATTTAATCTAAAACAAATTTTGCAACTAGATGAGAAAGATTACAGTAGAAATGATTCTTATTTCAAATTCAAAGTCAAACACAAATATTCTTTCTACATATCTTAATGAGCATACAATAAGACCCTGCTTAACACTGCCTCAATTAATGCTGATTCGATATAGCGTGTTCTGCTCTAAGCCAAAAAAATAAAAAAACAAAAAAAAGCTCAAAATTTACACTGATTCAAATTATCATTGATTCATATATAATAATTACAGTGGTACCTCAGGATACAAACACCCCAGCATACAAAATTTTCAGGATAAGACATGAAATTTGAACATATTTTTGCTCCATGATACGAACAAAAACTCACCATACGACATTACATTAGTTCGCAGTGCCATTTTTTATTCACTTCTTTACAGTCCACATGTTTGCTTAGTCGTGGAAGGATCTCACTCGATAAAGGAAATTTTGAGGTATTATCAGAAAGTGACTGATTTTATTCAAAAAAAACATCCCAAAAAGGTTCACACTAGCTGTATTGCTGCTCAGAGTAATGACATTTGCCTAAGTCATTTTAGAAACATTTTAAAAAGTAAGCAAAGCCAAACCTCTTTGAATAGATATTTCACTGAGCAACCTCTATCCAGTGAAAGTGCTGGTGGAAGTGAAGGAGAAAAAGCAAAAAGCAGTAAATAAAAATTTTTAAAATATATATATATATAAAAATTTAAAATATATATATATATATACAAGGGNTGCTTCGTCGTGGAAGGATCTCACTCAATAAAGGAAATCTTGAGGTATTATCAGAAAGTGACTGATTTTATTGAAAAGAAACATCCCGCAAAGGTTCACACTGGCCGTATTGCCACTCGGAGTAATGACATTTGCCAAAGTCATTTTAGAAACATTTTAAAAAGTAGGCAAAGCTCATTGGATAGATATTTTACCAAGCGACCTCTATCCACTGAAAGTGCTGGTGGAAGTGAAGGAAAGAAAGCAAAAAGCACTGAATAAAAATTTAAAAATAAATATATAAAACAACACTAATTTTTTATCTTTTCTAAGTTATTTTTAAGTTATTGTTACATTATGTTATGTAAGTTAAGTTTTAGTATCATTTCCCTTCTCCCTCTCTTCCGCCACCAGTTTACTCCTCCACTGTCGTCTATCCTCAAAGGTAAAGTGCAAATAAAACTACATTTTTTTTTTATCAATTATTATTCTATTATGGTTATTTATACATTTACAACTACACAACACATTTTTCAGTGTTTTCCTTACTATAGTTATTTTATTTTTTTTCAATGTACTACTTATGTGAGAAATCAGACTCTCTTTTGGGAATTTTAAATGCTAAAATTTGTATAAAATTTTTCTTTCATCATTATTTCCCTTATTTCTCCCGTTTTTACCCCTTTGGCCGGGGACTGGACCTTTTCACCCCTCAATGTACTGCGTCACACCGAAAGGTGACCTCCTAGACGGTCAAAGTCGTCCTAAACAACCAAAGAAGGACACCCCTCACCCAGGGGATTATTATATTCTAAGGTAGCTGCAATATTCAAGTAAAGAGCCAATTAGTGACAACAAACACATGTTACTGTCTAGAGCAGGGGTCGCCAAAGTGGTCTATATCGACCCCTGGGGGTCGATGAAAAGACTAAAACTTACAAATTTTGAACCGAATATTGCTAATCTTGCTAAGGATTATCAAGCTTATCTGTCTTATTGATTGTCAGTTACAAAAATTATTATTAACATATATACAGTACAGTACTGTACTGTACAATAAATGTAAAAAATGTAAAATTAAAAGATATACCGGTATATTAAAATAGTAAGCACTTTTTTTTTTTGCTTGTAACAAACTTTTTGGTGGGGGTCGATGTGAGGTTTTGAAAAGTTGTAGGGAGTCGACGATCAAAAAAGTTTGGCAACCCCTGGTCTAGAGGGTAACCAAAAAGGTCACCTGTAAGGGTAGACGTACGGTGAGAAACCATATCACGTTACCGAGGATGGACAGTCATCACCCCAAGTGATGACTGTCCATGTTAATACTAACTGGTCGAGAGAAGTGACGACGGTGGTCATAACTGCATCACCATGACAGGAGAGACGGTAATAACTCTGAAGAACTGTCAAAATTAAAGTAAACAACATATGCAGCAAAGACAATTACATCAGGAAATCCCCAGATATTTCCCATGCTAACCGTGTATAAAAGGGGATTGCCGGGAAGAAGCCCAAGGACCGGACTCCTCAAGCCTGCTCTCCTCTTGAGATCTTCGCAGTTTCTGATCGCCACTACAAACAAGGTAAAGACTTTTTTTACTTTTCTCTTTCTCAGTTTTAGATTAGTTCTCAGTAAACTCATGGGTAGCGGACCTTCAACGGTCCCGCCAACGGGAAAGACGGACAACCACCATCTATATTGTCGCGACGCGGAAATATTATTATTATTTTCCTCTTGTTTAGTTTTGAATGTACTTGCCTGTATTTGTATCGTTTGCTATAAATTAAATATGTTACTCTTAATTTTAATATTGTGTCATCTTTGAGTGCGACCGACACCTCGTCATGACTTCACTACCCCTCCCACTCACTTAACCATTGCCATCCCTGACAACAAAGCCGATAAGTGGGGAGAAGCTCGCCGCTCTACCCCTTGGTTCACACTTAGCTTTAATTTGAGTGTGTTTTTCGTGTTGGAACGAATTATTTGGTTTTACATGTAATCGTATGGAGAAAAATGATTCACCTTACGACATTTTCATGATACGATCTCAGTTTCGGAATGGATTAATTTCGTATCCTGAGGTACCACTGTATACACAAACATGAACCAATCAGCAAAAGGTGACAATTTGTTGTAGCATTGTACTTTCCTTAAATCTGTTTGTTTGGTGCAATTTTGGAAAAAATATAACATCATGGATGCCATAGGCAATATCAACTTTGCTTGGCAAGAATTAACTGATAAATACATGAACGGAGTGTGGAAGAAGTTATGGTTGAAGGTATCCAAGAATTCTCAACGAGAAGATCCTATCACTGTATTGTTAGATTGACCAAATTGTCAACCTAATCGATACAATAGGACTAGACAGGAGATACAGACGAGCAGGATATTGAGGAGTTACTGCAGGTTTCTGGTGAGAGCCTTACAACGATGACCTTCAAGAACTGGCAGAAGAAGGAATTCATGTAGGACTGGGAAAATAGTGATTCTGGAAGAACCTAAAAAATTTCTCTACAGATTTCCTTAGTATAAGTTTGGTAATGACAACTGAAATCATTGATCAAATTGTAGCAAATGGTCCAGATTTTGAAAGGAGTGAAAAAGCAAAATCAGACATTATGGATGCAATCTCCTGCTACAGACATTTGCTTAAGGAAAGAAAAAAGCAACAAATGAAACTACACGAATTTATCATAAAAACACAAGAATTTCAGAAGGACCAGGACCTTCATCATATAAAAAAATGAACATTACATTTTTGTGTGTTATATGTTTGATATTTAGCATATATTATTATGCAAATTAATATAAAAATAACTTAAAACTATAGTAAAATCTTCATTTTTGGTAATGTGTTCACCTTTCCCTATTTATGTGTTAAAATGACCTCATTTAACACTGTTTCATTTAGTGCTTTGATGTCTAGGAACATATCCCACACTTTAAGCTGGGTCTTACTGTATTTATAAATTAGGGTTTATCTTCAAATCTGTCTTTCAGTTATTTTATGAACTATAAATATAAAAACTGAATTTACATATATGTATATAAATGCAAAATAATATATAGTAAGACCCTGCTTAATGTTACCTCAATTAACACTGATTCGATATAAAGCTGTCTGCTCAATTCCTAAAAAAAGCTCAAAATTTATGCAGATTCAAATTATTGNTTTAAGTTAGTAGAAACATTGAAAAGAATGGTAAATAAAATCAAAAATTAGCATAAAAACAAAATACAAGGTTAAAAATAACAATTTATGTATGATATTTTAAATTTTGACTTATGTTTATTAAACTATGACAAAATCATACAATTCACTTACCAGCATCAAATTGGGCCAATTCAGCTTGTTGATTATCTAGTTTTTCTCTTTGCAAACTGACCAATCTCATCAAATCTTGTACTTGGGGATCATGTTTGTTTTCATTTATTTGACTACTTCGAGATGGAGAAGAACGTGTTATATGCTGTTTAATATCTAATGGTCTAATATTATTTTCACTATCAAATTCAGAAAGTAAATTTTTCTTGGCTTTTGGTGTTTCTGTTGGAAGATTATGATCTAAATATTGATTTCTGTCTGATATTGAAATAGGATTCTGTGATTTTTTACCATTTTCAGAATTGTGATTTGATCTATTACTATGTGCAGATTCAGGACTCTTGATATTTAAATCAATAATATTTTCAGATGATTGATTATAATTACTGTTACTATTATTATTATTATTACTACCACTACTAGTACAAACATTTGTTGATGAGGTATGGTGTTCATCATATGGTTGAATATGAGACATTTCATGATCAATTATGTGATCTGTCCTTAGAGATGAAACATGACGACGTTTAGAAGAAGGAGATTCATCACTCTGACTGAATGGAGAACCAGTCACAGCTAATGATAAATGACTAGGTGGAAATCTACCACTGGAACGAGAGACAGCTTCATTATAAGGAGGTGGATGTTTTGGTCTCTCTGTTCTGGATCCTACCACAGGCTGACCAATTTCTTGTGAGTACTCATTTTCTCGTGGACGCTGAGGAACACCACGAACTACTCCTCTTGGTACATCTTGCCTAGAACGATTTCTCCCCATATTAGACATAGGAGGTAATGGTGGATCAACTTTAGGAGGGGTATTATTACTACTAGCTCCTTGAGATGGAATACTAGCATTAACACTACTACTACTTGCACGACCTCCACTAAAAGTCAGTGATTTTTTTATTTCTTTATTTTGTGGTGACAGATTAGAATGAACTGTATTATTGGTAGGAGAAAAACTATGTAAAAAGTCATGCTGTCTTTTACTAATATTACTTTGATTTGCAGATCCAGAAGATTTTGAATCTGCTTGAGAACGTCTCATAACAAATTGAACATCATTAGAGTATTCTCCCCATTTTGTTAATACTCTTAGAGGATGTTCCATTGGAGCCAAAAGATGTTCATTATTTCTCCATTTTTCTATTAATGTGAATCTTCCTGTTTGACCTGTAGCGTGGGCAAGAGCATACACAACATCTTGACAAGTTGTTGCATCAGTTACACCACAGACTACTCTTTGTACACCATCCACCCATACTTTCAGTTCCATATTGATGTGTAGTAATATTCAGGATAGCCAAATCATATTCATTTGTAGCATCTAAAAATGAAAAGAAATATAAACATTATAATAAATTACCATGTAAATTATTCATAAAAGAGTATTCTAAAAACAACTTACAACCACCTCAAACAGTAATTCATACTTATGATAAATAAGCATTTTGCTACATTAACAACTTAGTAAATGGCAACATTTAAAGTTATAAGATAAAACTTGGCAATATTTTTAATAAAACAATGTATTTAATTAGAAACAGGAGAAACTGACATTGTATTGTAATTATGTACAGTAAAAAAATATTATCAATGCATATTTTATTACTTTTATAAGTTTTCAACAAAAATTATATTATTTGTATAGAATATACACTTACAAATGAGTTTCAACTACATATTTCAGCTAAAGTGTATATCATTGCCAGTGAAATTTTTCCTCGTTCCTTATAGAACAATTAGAGATTTTCGAATTGAACAGACAACTTATGAAACTACTGTTAAAATAAAACTAATGAATTTCAAAATCTCTTACTTCAATAAACAACGTACCAGGAACCTGTTGCCAGTGTGCTTCTCGATAAACAGAGTGTTATGAACGTTTTCAAACTTGACAGTTCTTCTTCAGCCAAGCCAAGGTAATCCGCACCACAAAATATACACACCATCTTAGATGGCTAGAGGCCCTATACATCTGTATGGCTACACTAAAAGATGACAATTGCATTAACAGCAAAGACAAAATCACCCTGTCAACTGCATGGCAGATGCTCATAGATAAGAACTTACAATAATTTACAACCAGCAAAGGGGCGCATGCGTGAATGATGACATGGATCCATGCGATAGAATTCTTAATGGTATTCTAATATGAATTGAATTTGAATTGCATTTGATTAACAGTCGTATGTTACCTGAAGAAGAACTGTCAAGTTCGAAAACGTTCATAATGCTCTGTTTACCGAGAAGCACACCGGCAACAGGTTCCTGGTACGTTGTTTATTGTTTACTTTAACCCGGTGTAGTATATTTCCACTCTTACTTCAGTATGACATGTATTTTCTAGACAGAGATTTTGATGTTTCTAAACTCAAAGAACTAGGGTACAAAATAGAAATGCTTGAATCTGTTGATCAGATCAAGAACAATCACAGACACTATCACAATTCAGATTAATGGAGGTCACATTACAAATTGCTGATTTTTTTGTGAAAATTGCCAATCCATAACAAACAATATTTTCACCAATCCATTTTGTCATTTCAAAATCATAGTCTCATCCATTAACTGAATTTTTTATACATTACAGTCAACCTTAATTAGTTGATGACAATGCAGAAAAATTTGAATGGTCAAATCAATAACTTTCCAAACCTTGTATATATTAATTTAAACACATACAAGACACACCAACAAACCTCAAATTACTAATTTTTCATTTTTTTTTTATCTGTAAATAACAGACATCAGATATATTTTAATTTGCAGTCATCTAACAATGAAGAATGAATTTAGTCATTAAAGCTTTATTGTTTTTATCCCTTTAAATGTACAGTACATCTATCACAAAACTGTTTTTGATGTAACTGATTTTAGCTACTTAGGAACAATTTGACTAAATTTTATATGAATTTTTAAGCCTTTTGGTCTGTTTTGTTAACAATGCCATTTATATGATTAGTCCTTTGAAAAACATACATTAAGGAGTCCTTTACAGCTGCTTGTGAAAATGTAAAGACAAAATCCCATTGAAAATAGTAATACTCCTTTATTCTTACTTATACTGATATTGTTATGCATACAAGCAGTTCATGATTTTCAGTCATCTTTTGGGCAAATTGTTCTTTTAAGCATAGCATTTTGATGTCTAACTTGCTTTTCATGTACAAAATTTATACTTTCAGCCAACAAACAAAAATTTTGAGCTAAGTTGTTGCCCTTTGGTTTTGGATTAAATAACTTCATGCAACTCTATTGCTCAACTTTCATGTATATTTTTAGGAATGTGTCATATCTGAAAGTCAAGAACCATCTCTATTTTATTTAAAAAAAAATAGAAAATTTAAAAATTTTTAAAGTGCAAATGACAATTTTATCTGGCACTGTATCTACATTAGTTTAATTAACGTGTTAAACATTAGGTTCGTAAGATTAAAAAGTACTATGATACGGAATGCTTAAACATGAACAATGCCTCGTTGACTTTAGCAATAAACCTGTAAAACATACTTTAATATCATCGGGTTTGTATTATAAAGTTTTTAATATATACAATATGATACTTTCGAAATTCTACTAATTGTTTGTAAATTTGTTCCTGCAACATTCAAATTTTGTTTTGTATCTTTGTATAGAAATCCGAGAAATCGAAAAATCATTTGATCAAGGAGTAAAATTAAGATCGTGAGTGTCAAAGCTTTATGAAAATTTATATAGCATTTAGAAAAAACTGAATCTGCATTAGTAGCCATTAGAATATAATTATAATTATAATTGATGATAATTAGTAATATAACACTTAATATGAGAATATTTACTAAAGGTCTATGGATAAATTATTAAATTTATCCATAGACCTTTAGTAAATATACCTTTAGTAATTCACCTTACGTATACTGAATTGTTTAAATATGATATAAAATGTTCAATTTTATTTATTTAGTTTTTAGGGATAGGAATGGCGCTGATAACAAGGCTCTAACTTTTATTATGCTGAACGCCATGGATTCACGTCTGTATGACACTAGCTTCTCTCTATTGATGTCAAATCCCATTCAGTTCGAGAACTTTTTCTGTTGATATCAAATGATTATATGAAGATAATTTTAAAAAGGATAAAAGCGAGTGGATCATTTCATTAGCCATGTTGTTTGCTACGGAACTGGAAGAAGCGTATTTCTTAATTAACTTAAATGATAAACTTGTTTTTATCATTTAATTTGTATTTACAATGAAAAACCAATTACATCATAAAATGTATATGAAATACAGTTAAACTTAATAAAATAAATATTTTCGTAGATTATTCAAAAATTCAAAGAAAGAAATATTCTAATATTGCTATTACATTTTACAATTTTTTCAATTCCTAAAAATTCACCTACGTGAGTACGATGTATAGGAAATATAATTAATTTTAAACCATACACAAAAAATAAATCTTATAAATTATTTAATATTATCCACTTAAGCATAAATTTATACGTAGTTATTGTGCAAAATAAATAAATAAAAGTAAACACATAAAATCGAGATATCACTAAAATTAATTCAATAATAAAATATCTATGTTAGTTAAATTTATTTCTATCCGAATTATAAAAATATTTTATGCGGTTTTTCATCGAAATTAAATAAGTATTAAAATATATATATTTATAGGATTATCATTTATCTATGTTCTAATTTTTTATAATAGAGAAATATGACTTTTTTAAATTCCCTACAGGCGATAAAATTTTTCTGCCCCTGGCCTAGATTAGAATCTATTCTTTATGGTAATGAAATAGCGTTTAGCGATGTTATAATTAAGATTTAGCAAGTAATATTCATTAACATAATAATTATAATTCATTTAATAAATTAACAGTTTTAATGCACGTTTCAAAACAAATTCATTTATAAATCAGGAATGTAATACTATATAATACTTTATTTTTAACATCAGTAAATAAAAGAACACGAAATAAATAGATAATTTTAATTTAAGTTTTATTTTGAAAATCTCTAAAACCAACAGACCTAATTATTAATATTCATAAATATTACAAAAGTTATCATAGTAAAATTCAATTACAACAAACAGTTACCACATATAAGAAAAATTATATTTATACGGCATTGGACTGAGTTGAGAAAAATATATTTACAGTTTTTTTCAATGAGTCTATATTGGATTTAAATTCCACGAGAATGTATGCATTTTTCTTCTTAAAAATACATTCAATATATTACAAATGAACTTTCTTCATATTAACATTACTTTTAAGTGATAGAATTATAAATATAATAGGTTTGCAAAATAAATCTCAAAGTAATTTTTAATTTTTTATAATTGTATTACATATAAACCGTAATTCTTCTTAATAAAAATACGTTTCTAATTGATTTATTGTTTGACATATACTGTATATTATCAGGTAAGCTTAAGTAGCAACAATAATAAAATGTTATTGTTTCATTTACAAGAAAAAAAACCATTAAAAATATAATTGCTTCTTTTACTTTTCTTATTTTATCAAAATTTAAAGTATAGTTATATTCAGTTAATTAAGCCACTAAAAGAACCGCTATAGACACAGTTTTAAGCGATTTCATATAAATTGTATATCCTAAGTTGATAGCGTCTTGTAATCCTGAGATTCATGACATCAAATATTTTTCACGCATACTAACATTAGTATATAATGTGATTTCTAGAGCTTAGTAACAAGCGGGACGAATTTGAAATATTCAAGTTTTAACGATGATGCAAAAAATAAAATGAAATTTAGAATAAAATATACACATAGAGAGAAGCATATTTTGGTTTAAAAAAAGTTTAAATCCTGAAAACATTTCTTAATAATTTTGATTTAATATAAGAAATTTTTAATAACTTTTTCTAGACTTATTGTAGTCAAATAAACCTGACATAATTTAATGATTTAAGATTAAGATAACCGAGCTTTAAGGAAAATTATACAAAAAGTTAATTATGCAGGAAAGTCTAATATAATAAAAAAAGAAGCAAATTAAATAGAAATAAATATAATAAATAGCCTTTTAAAAAATGTCAGTTTTTCATAATTTTTATATATTGTTTTATAAGAAAAAAATAATATCGTACTTGTTATAGGACATCAATTTATTTACTTATAACATATGTATGACTTATGAAATTTTATAAATCTAACTATGAATTATGAGATCACTGTTTCTTATGTACTGTATGTACTGTACATACCGGTACGCTCTCTATATGTATAGCTGCACTTTTTAAAGGAAAATGGCTTAGAATTTACTTTCCAGGCTTTGTTATATGGTGGTCAGTAAAAAGAAACC